CAGCAGGAGGAGAAGGAGGAGAACCATTGGCTGGTAGTGGTGGATTACTATTACTACCACTACCACGACAACAACAACAACAACAACAACTACTACTACTACTACTACTACTACTACTCCTACTACTGCGGCTGCTGCTGCTGCAAAAGGCCCGGGCCCTGGCTTTCGGCGATCCGCGGAGTCCCGGCAGAGCCGCGAAGCTCCGCGGCCACCGGCCCTGCGGCCCTTCCGCCGGGTTTGATTCAGGGGGTTCCTCTACAAGGGTTGAACCAAAGTTCCTTTATTGGTTCTTTTAACGGTTTCCTTATGGGTTCCTCGAAGGTTCCTTGGAGGAATGCATTCGCAGGGGCCAGAATTATGATGGGGTAGTTATACATGTGCTGTACCCATACTCGAACACACAGAAGATCAGGGTGCAGGGTTTGGTCACCATTCTGTAAAGGCCATAGGCTCGATAGCTCATGTTCAGGTAAATATTCAGGGCTCTCGCCAGGATAGGGTTTATGCCATGTGTTCCTTTCCAGGGATTTAGGAGGTGCATCGATGCTTACATGATTTTGGACATCTCCGCTGAAGCAGCAATCATGACCTGCGAAGCCTATTGCCAGCAGAGCACGACTGCAACCGTGGGCCAGGAGGTGCTCCGTCGTAGAGGTTTCCGTGAATCCAAGAAATGTTTAGGGCGTTTAGGGCTTAGGGTTTAGGGTTCAGACTTGGCAGAGCGCATGCTGAGAAAAATTGTTTCAGACCCACAGCCAGCAACAAGAACTCAGTCTTGAGGTGTTGTGTGCTCAGTCAACCCATAATTTAGACCGTGCTTCTATTGAGTGTAGCACGGTAGTTGGTGTTCTACATGCCTTTGCTCGCATTGCACATCCTATATTCGTGACACTAGACACTACCCTACAATGGGCTATACAAGTATGCGCAGTAAGTTAGATCATCGAGGCAACCCCAAGCGCCTACAGCCCACGAATCTTCAAGTATCAGTATATACTCGCCACGAAACCCCTGAACCCTAAAACCCTAGAAGCCCAAACCAAAATTCCATACGACCGGGAAAATTCTGAAACCCTCTTTTACAATCGCCCGACAAGGGTAAGAAACTACGCTAAACCCTAAACCCTAAACCCTAAAGCCTAAACCCTAAACTTGATTCGGATGGTGACAGGTCTGCTTTTGGAGCTGAACCCATTAGAGGCGGAGGACGCCGCGCCCGGGCAGCACAGAGGCTTCTGAGGGATATTTGGAGGTTCCGAGTAGGGCCTCCTTAAAGGGTTCCTTAAAGGGTTCTATAAAGGATCTATAAGGATTTAGGGTTTAGGGTTTAGGGTCTACTTGGAGGTTCATGCGTAGTTATAAGTGGGGTTCTGGGGTTCCTTTAACAGTTCCTTTAAAGGGTTCTGTAGGGTTTAGGGTTTAGGGTTTAAGGTTTAGGGTTTAGGGTTCATGGGTAGCTATAAGTGGGGTTATAAGTCCCCTAATATGGGTTATAACTATAGTTAGCCTACTTAGAACTCTACTTATAACTGCCCATGAACCTCCAAGTGCACGAGGCTTACGGACCATGATCATAGCGACTTCAGGCGAAGCGAACATAGTGTCATGAACGGCCATGGGCCAGAGGACTCCGCATTGGGGGGACGTGGGCACCAGGGTACGACCTAAACCCTAAACCCTAAACCCTAAACCCTAAACCCTAAACCCTAAACCCTAAACCCTAAAACCCTAAACCCTAAACCCACGCCTCAAGCAGAGGAAACGCCGAACCCGTAATACCACCAAAGCTCGAAGCGTTAAGATACCACGCTCCTAAGCCCTAACCCCAAAGCCCTCCATTATCCCAAACCCTGAGCCCACGGCCCTGACCCTGACCGTACAGCAGAGGCAAGAATACTAGTTACATCATCGTCCCCTGATACAGATAATTACTAAAATCGAGGCAAAAGCCCTAGTTGAATGACTAAGTTTAAGGTTTCCATATTTCACTCCAAGCCCAGCAGCTTTGAGCCAGATACTATAGACGCCTGGATCATAAGCAACATTGTTTTCTTATAGTCGCTATAAAGTTCCAGCTAAACATACTCCACCACCATAGTCTAAAGCTATTAATGCCCTTATAGCACACCGTTCAGCGGAGCAAGACATGCAGTATGGTTCGAGAGCTACGGGTAAAAGCTATCTTGTTGTTTGCACTGATAAACCGATAAACCCTTACTGACATCTTAGTGTTATTGCTGCTTTGGTTTAGCGTTCTTATTACTGCCATGATCCCGCTTCTCTCCACGGTTCGTCCTCGTCTCCTGAATTGTATGATTCAGTTTCTATGCTTTTTCAGCTCAACTCTCAACCCCTCGCCCCCTAAACCCTGAACCCGAAACCCGTAACTCTTAAACCCTAAACTCTAAACCCCTAGCCCCCTAAACCCTGAACCCGAAACCCTTAACTCTTAAACCCTAAGCCTAAACCCTGAACCTGTCATGACAGTAGCATTCGGACCTGGCCCCAAAAAAGTGCCTCAAATAATTACCTATACTATTTGAGGGGTTCCTTATTAGAGATATAGTATAATATACCCCAAAGCCCTATTCCAATTACTAAGGTCCCTATATTATAGAGCCCTATTATAGATCCCTTTGAAGGAACCCAATCCTGATTTTAAGGCCCCTACATTAACTGAGGGCGAGCTGCCTTGCGGGGAGTTTCGGCAGCTGCTCCTTTTCGATGCCTTAGAGTCGGCTGCTCTCAAGGCCTTGAAACTCCCCGTTTAGCGTTTAGGGTTTGGGATTTGGGGTTTAGGGTTTAGGGTTTAGGATTTAGGGTTTTGGGTTTAGGGTTAAGGGCTTAGGATTTAGGATTTAGGGTTCAGGGTTTAGGATTTAGGGTTTAGGGCTTGGGGTTTAGGGTTTAGGGACCCCCCAAACCCCAGACCCTGTACCCTATCTTATGACCTGATGTTGCTTCCCGAAAGGGTCTTAAGTACCTACATGGGGGATACATACCCAAACCATACTATTCCAACAATCCTACTCTCTACGTATAGGTACTTTAGGACCCTGTAGTTTATGGTTCGCGGTTTAGGGTTTACAGAATCCCTAAACCCCTTCATTTAGGCTCACACTATTCCCCCTTATACTCTAAACCCTGAACCCTAAACCCTAAACCCTAAACCGTGGGTCAGGGTTCGCGGGATTCATAAGCCCCCTAATTCAGCGTTGATGGGATTTACAGACCCCCAAACCACCGGATTTTGGGTTCAGCATTGAGGGTTTAGGGCTTAGGGTTCAGGGTTTAGGGTTTAGGGTTTAGGGCTGAGGGTCTAGGGGTTAGGGTTTAGGGTTGAGGGTTTAGGGATTTGGGTTTAGTGTTCAGGGTTTAGGGCTTAGGATTGAACGTAGACAGCCATGTCAATGTGAACCTAAAAAAGCACGTCTCGGCTCAGACTTTTGGGGGAGATCTTGGGGAGGCTCCTGGGGTGTTAGGGTTGACGTAGTACTTTGAAGAGTCTAGGACATTTTCCGGTGGGTAGCTACCGTTATAGGAGCCTTATAGAAGGTCTATATACCTTACAGAAGCCTTATAGAAGCCCTATATGCCCAAAACTCCCCACCTGTAGTTTCCTTTGATAGAGGGTTCCGTTAAACGCCCTGAACCCTAAACCCTCAGCCCTACAAGACTCTAAATCTCGATAGCAAGGCCGTCTGAGTCCGAGAGGTTGGATTTGGTTTTGAAGCCTTCTACTTGGAGGTTCATGGGTAGTTATAGATGGGGTTTTTCAGTCCCCTAATATGGGTTATAACTTCAGTTACCCTACTTATAACCCCACTTAGAACTATACATGAACCTCCAAGTAAGTGGGGTTATAAGTAGGGTAGCTGTAAGAATAAACCATATTCTAGGGGACTTATAACCCCATTTATAACTACCCATGAACCTCCAAGTAGGGGCCCTGTTGCCCTACCTCAACAGCCCAAAGTGTTTTGGCCGAAGCTTAGTTGAGGCCTTCGCATCGAAAGGAGATGAGCCCCGAGCACCATCACTGGAGTTTCAGCTTCAGACGATGCTAAACCGCTACACCCCAACCTCTTGGACCCTGAGCCCTAAACTCTAAACCCTAAACCCTAGACCCTAAAACCTCTTGGACCGTGAGCCCTCAACCCCCTAAAGCCTATGCCCTGAACTCCCAAGCTCCCAAACCCCATTGCCCCAAGCCCTAGATCCCTGAACCCTGAGCCCTCGAACCCTGAACCCTAAACCCTGAACCCTAAACCCTAAACCCTAAACCCTATAAGCCCTAAGTCGACAGGTCTGGCTCGAAAAGCTGAACTCCGCATCGGGGCAGGCCCGCCAGAGCCTCACAGGCCTGGACCAATCGAGGATTTAGGGTTTAGAGTTTAGGGTTTAGAGTTATAGGGTTTAGGGTTTAGGGTTTAGAGTTTAGGGTTTAGGGGTTTGGGTTTAGGATTTGGAATGGGCCTGAATAAGGGCTTTACAAGGTCTCGTAAGGGTTTTACAGGGCCTAATGGGTTGCGGCAAAAAAAAGTAATGGTATGATTAGCCTTATCGTCCTTGCACAGGTTTTCTCTCAACGCCTTGTGCAGATGTTCCAGGCATCGATACTGCCAGGACGAAGGTGGTTTGGCGGTTGAGGGCTTGAGGTGTGTAGTAGTGTAGTGGTTGAGGACTGGTTTAGTGGTTTTGCGACTTGGGGGTGGAGTCTCATGGAAACTGAGCCGTGAACCCTAAAGCGCAGACTTGAACAGGTAGAGCACAAAGCCCCTGCACGATTCACTGGAGGACCCTAAAGCCCTAAACCCTAAACCCTGAAACCCTGAAGCCCTGAAACCCTAAAACCCTAAAACCCCTAAAACCACTAAACCCTAAACCCTAAACCCTGAAACCCTAGAACTCTAAAGCCCTAAAACCCTAAACCCCCTAACCGAACCCCCAAACTCTAAAACCCCTAAAACCCCGGCAGCCCTAAACCGAAAGTTTAGTCTGACAGCCCTGCAGGCCTCACGAAAAGAACCCCCAGCCTGCCCTCAGCCCTAGACTTTAGGGATTAGGGTTTAGGGTTTGGGGTTTAGGGTTTAGGGTTTAGGGTTCCTAGACCCCATACCCCAACACCCCTTTTGATACTTATGCTCGCCCGTGCAGTCCTATATGGGGGGGGTTCCGAAAATAGGGGACCCTAGTATAGTACCCTAAAAAGTAGGATCGTTATAAGGGCCCCAAAATAAGGCCTCCGAAAACTCCCTTTTGTGAACCCTGAACAACGTCCTTATATAGCCCAAATGCGCTTGCAGAATTTGGCGCATTGCCGGGCGCAGTGCCTTTCGATGTGTCGCCGGCCGGCTACCAGTCGCCGCAGAGGTCCCTTGGAGCGTTGTTGCCTCTTGCTTCGGTTCATGATGATGACGATAACGATGCTGCGGCCGGGGATCATGACGGCGCCACAGATGGCGATGATGATGACGATCCTGCCGATGACCGTCATGATCATGTTGACGAGGACGAGCAATTTCGCATGATAAACTTTAGAGCCTGAAGATGAATTTCGAACTGGCAATAGCGACAACATCTGCTGCTGCCGCTGCTGCAGTTGTTGCTGTGATGACGACTACTGCTGTAAAAGAGATCAACAACACCGACAACAACATTAGCAATGACCACGACGTCATCTGCATGCAAGACGTCCGTGTAGAAGCCCTAGCTGAGTTGCAACCTGTGAACCTAGGTTTGATCAGCTTGGCTTCGCGTCTCTTAGAGTAAGCTAGGATATGTCGTCGCTGAGTTGCATGCCATCTGCGATTCTGTTGTTTTGCTGTGGATTGTCGTATACCACCGCATATTCTGAGTTCGAGCCAGAGAAGCAGTAATGACTCGTCCTTTTGCATTACGCTGCCNNCCCCCCCCCCCCCCCCCCACATGACCTTGTAGACAAGACAGGGTCGCTTCGGCAGAGTGTGGATAGTTCTCGTGTTGCTTGTGGATGCACGGCTCAGGCATACGGGGATGCCGGACTTTCCTCTAGACCTGCTGAAGCCCAGGGTAGGATCCAACCCAGCCCGAAACCCTAAACCCTAAATCTAGGGTGTTGGGGTTTCGCGTCCGGTTTGCTGTTTTCGGACTTCCGGGTTCGAGTCGCTTAGAGGGGTTGGGTGTCTTTGATCTTCGGCACACCTGGGTACTGTATCTTCCTAAGTGCAGGGGCCGCTTTTTCCAGAGCGGGGCGAATGAGAACAACGCTTCGCGGCTGGATTAGCTTTTTACCTTGGACCTTAAGAAACAGCCCAATCTAAGTACTGTATTAGGTCTTAGTAGGCACAGTTCGCATACGTGGAGTCTCAGGGTCAGTGCTTCGTAGGAAGCTATGGTTTACACGGTTTACAGGTGAGGGAGGAATGGGAGCCCCATTTTGTAAACCCTGCAGCCCCAAGCCCCCAAACCCAAATCCATCCTTGCACGAATCTCAGACTTCCTTACAGAATGACTCACGTCGTAGTTAACAGTCACAACATTATTCCGATTGATACAGCTGCGGTTGCTGCTCATCCCCACAGCATCTGCTTGTGCTCGTCTAAACCCCAAAACACTGACCCTAAACTCTCTGTGTTTTACTTGAAGCGCGAACAGCAAAGACCCCTTACCCAGAACCGTGACTACTACTACTACTACTAC